GTTCCCGTCCGCCAAGTCCCTTATCGGATCCTTACCCATGCCCGAACCCGATAACCTCTCCACCAAACCATCCACAACCTCCGGGTAGGCCCAAACGCTCGCCGTCGCTCTCCTCAAAGCCGACTCCACTCGCCCACCAGCGTCGTCTCTCCCCGTCAGCAGGCTCGGGCTCAGAGAGATGACGAACTCGCCCGTTTCGGATCCGGGTCTGACCGTTGCGGGTCCGGGCAGATTGTGAGTAGCGAGCTGCACAACTACGTGGTTGACCACATGAGTCGTCGTGTTCCGGGGGTAGGCGTGGTCGGAGGAGCAGAGGATTTCTTGGACGCGGGCGGCGGAGTCGAGGATGACGCGTTGAGCCCGACCGTTGGAGACGAACAAGAGGTTCGAAACGGCCGGCGAGCGAGGGGAGACGATGTGGAGGCGGGCGTGATCAGCTTATGTGGACGTGTTTGAGAGGTCGTGCTTCGCGAAGAGAAGCGAGGGCGAGGAGGCGGAGAAGAAGGCGAGCGCGACGGGAAGCGGTGGAGACGGAAGGGGAGGGGGCGGTGGCGGGAGAAGGATGGAGGAGAGGGTCGACGTTCATTATTAATTGCGTACAAATTAATTAAGTTGGAAGGGGAGTTGGAATCTTGATGAGTTTATGGCGTGTGGTCCGTGTGGATATTGAATTTGTATGGTGTCCAAGACTCCAAATTGTCCGGCAAGATTCTTTACACATCCTTGATTGTTGAGAACTTTTTTTATACAGTTAGTTACGTGGATTAATAGCATATGTCATAGGGATTCAGATCTTTTTCACTATCTAAAAAGTAGAGAAACGATCACTACATAATCACAACCATTAATTATCTAGTTGATGGTTGTAAATTTTTTTATTTGAGTGCAAATTAGGAATGAGTGTTATATAAGGGGCTATGGTGAGTGCTAGAATTAGATTATATCATAACCGTCTATTAAGTAATCAACGATTGAGATTAAAAGTAGTGGTCTCTCCACTATTTTTTTGTAGTGGAGAGGATCCAAATCCTATGTGATAGTAGTTAATTTCTCGGGGTGAGGCTTCTTGGTTTTGGCTCGCAAGTAAA